GCTGAGGACCAATCCTGACAAGACAGAGGTCCTCCAGGTCAGTTGCTCGGCTGACCGGGGTATTGGGTGGCAACCTGTGCTGGATGGGTTGCACTCCCCCAGAAATCACAGGTCCGCAGTTTGGGGGTCCTCCTGGACTTGTACAATAGTTTCTAATAATATTGGCACCAGTCCTGGTTAAATGAGGATGAGGACTATTCCTGGTTAACCACCTCATCCTCATTTAACCAGAACTGGTGCCAATATGATTAGACACTATTGCACAACTTTTGAAATCTACACTTTAAACTGGAGATCTCATTCTCCTCAAACTTGAGGTCTAGCTTCACTAGATAAAACTCCCATACTCACCTTGAATGGAAGATTGGCTACCTTCATGATACCATGCTATTTCCGATGACTATCCCCAGGTTTGGGGTTTTTATTTATTTATTTATTTATTTATTTCAAAGTTTTCTATACCGAGCTTCTCACCTCTTAGAGGGACTCAGCCCGGTTTACAACCATAAAAACATACAATCAGTAAAATATCATAGTTCATAATTACAATAACACATTTAAAATAACAGCTATATTTAAACTTGCTTTGCCCCACTTCTGGGCAAAGTCAGGGTTTTTCTGGAATTCCAAAATACTCCTTAGCTTCAGAGCAGTGTGACAGATAGATTGGGTCCCATTCAGCCTGATTTGCTGTCCAGATGGGATACTGGCACCAACATCCTTTCCATGCACTCATCAACACAGGGAAAAGAGATGGATCGTGTCCATATTGCCACATCAGCCCACAGAAAGCTATGGTCCTTCCACCTTGTGAAGCATCATAGTATTTTCTGGTTTTCATGTTATGGCCAAAGTATGACAGCCTCAGTTTTGTCATTTTGGCTTCTACAGAGAGTTTAGTCCTCATTTGTTCTGAGACACATGTATTTTCTAGCAGTCCACCATATCTGCAAAACCCTTTTCAAAAATGACATCTCAAATGTGTTTGTTTTCTTCTTATCATATGCACTGCCCAGCTTTTACAACCAATTATACAGTCAAGTTCTATGCTTTTTATTTCTTGTATTGGTTACTATAATATTCTTCTCGCAGACTTTCCTCATTATTCAGTTGCCTGTGTTGGCTTCCTGTTTCCTTGTTTGTTTTTATGTTAGACTTCTCATTTTTTTATTCTTACCTAACTCTTCTTTAATTACCAATAGGCACACATTTGCAGCAACTGATCCTTTTTTTTTTTTTTTTTGCTTTATAGTATTTATCAACTTACAGATACCTTCCTTCGGGGGGAGAAGGGCAGGGTATAAATATAGGAAATAAAAATAATAATAAGTGGGTGCTTCCTGGTGCTACTTCTTGTGCATCCTGGGAGAGACAGATAAACCTCCAGGCAATTTAAAATTACTCACCCCTCTTTATACTTTTTATCATCAGAAGTATTTGATACTTGTTGGGAGGAAGGGTTGAGCTTATTTATTTATTAACTATATTTATATACCGCCCCTCTCAGCCCGAAAGGCGACTCGGATCACACTGGTTTCATTCACTGAAACCAGTGTGATCCCTTACTATGATGAACAGTGTTGAGTGATCAAACTCTGTGTATGCTACTGCTGTTGGCTTATTTTCTAAGACAAAGATTGCTATCATAATAAAATATATGTTGTCAAAGGCTTTCATGGCCAGAATCACTGGGCTGCTGTGAGTTTTTCAGGCTGTATGGTCATGTTCCTGTAGCATTCTCTCCTCTCTCCTAGGAGAGAATGTTACTGGAACATGGTCTTACAGCCCGAAAAACTCACAGCAACCTATAATAAAATAGTTATACCTGTTATATAACAGTTGTTTATCGTGTCAGTATCAACCAGACAATTGTATTACATTTTAAACAATTTTTTAACAAAACAAACAGAGTTTGCAAGCTTGGTAGTTGATTAAATGTCCTTTGACCAGTATCTGGCCACTTGGAGTGCCTCTGGTGTTGCCGCAAGAAGGTCCTCCATTGTGCATGTGGCAGGGCTCAGATTGCATTGCAGCAGGTGGTCTGTGGTTTGCTCTTCTCCATACTTGCACGTCGTGGATTCTACTTTGTAGCCCCATTTCTTGAGGTTGGCTCTGCATCTCGTGGTGCCAGAGCGTAGTCTGTTCAGCGCCTTCCAAGTCGCCCAGTTTTCTGTGTGCCTAGCGGGGAGTCTCTCATTTGGTATCAGCCATTGATTGAGGTTCTGGGTTTGAGCCTACCACTTTTGGACTCTCGTTTGCTGAGATGTTCCAGCGAGTGTCTCTGTAGATCTTAGAAAACTATTTCTTGATTTAAGTAGTTGACGTGCTGGTTGATTGCCAAACAAGGGATGAGCTGGAGATGTCTCTGCCTTGGTCCTTTCACTATTGGCTGCCACTTCCCGGTAGATGTCACCATATAACAGTTATCATATAACAGTTATGGTAAGATGAATCTCTGGGATAGCTATGCATTCACCAAGGACACCGTAGAAAATGAATTTCTTATAATGTCTTGGCATTCAACATTCAATTTACTTTTAAGTCACGCTGAGTTTATACACAAGGCATGAAAAACACATACATGTTCTATTAGAGACTCTATAATGGAACATGTATGTGTATTACAATATTCTTCAACAATTTTCAATGCCTTGCCCTTTCAAAACTTACGTACATTTTCTCTTTCTGTCATGTTGCATTATCATACCAGATAAATGATGTATTAGACTCTAGGACTATTTCCATATTAAGTGAAAGTACTAGTTAAACAATACTGTGAAATCGTAGGCCTTAGTTCCCTTCTGCTTAGTGCCAAATATACGGAGTCAGTTGTTAATAACTATGCACTGAAATGCTATCATATTAAAAGAATGAGATGAGACATGCTTTGGTCGAACAGTATTGATTCACACTATCTTTGGCAAATGTAGTCTCGCAAGCCAGAGTGTTCTGAAATGCACTGTACTCCTGGCCTTTATTTATAACACCGAAATCTGATTCGAGGGAAGCAACAGGTCCTTGCAGTTAGTCATCTCTTTGATCCAGCTAAAAGGCCACCCTGAAAGGCAGATGCTGTCTGTTCCTTCTTATGCCAATTAAGGATCTGAGCTTACAGTTAAATTCACATGCTTCAGATTCTTGCATCTTTGTGGGGAACTGGCTGATTTCCACTTAGTACTACCTATTCATTTGTCACTGTCCTGGGGCTAACTAGGTATCATAGCTGGTGACAGGTTGCTGGTATGATCATACCGAGCATGTTTGTACATCATTTTTGGCACATCCATAGAATAATTTTTTCCTCATTTATTTTAGTGGAGATAGTTCACTGACCAGGATAACTAAGGTGAGACTTTTCTTAGTAATATTAGGTGCTTAATTTATGTCTTGGAGAAATTAAACTGTTGCTCTGAAATATTTTAAATGAATGTCATTTTTATTGTGGACTGTTAAGTCATTTCTATCTTTTGATTACCCTAAGGCACACCTATCATGGGACTTTCTGGGCCTGAGAGCGTGTGACTTGGCTGAGGTTATCCAGTGAGTTTTCATGGCTGAGCAAGTAATCGAACCCTAGTGTCCAGCATCCAATGCTCAAACCACTACACTACACTGGCTAGGTACACTACACTACACTGGCTAGGTTAGTTAAATTAAACAAAAAGTTATATTAGGGAGCCAGCATAGCATAGTGGTCTGAGTGTTGGACTAGGATTGTTTATTTATTTATTTATTTATTTAATACCCACCTTTCTCACCCCGCAGGGGATTCAAAGCGGCTTACAAACTCCGGCAAAAATTCAACAATAAAACAAGACATATCAAACTATAAACAGTTAAAATATATAAACAAATTAACACACATAAAAGCAATAAAACAAATTAAAAACATAGCAGATTAAAAACATAACAAAGTGCTGAATCATTAGTTTCCATACATATTGATTTTAATAAGGTCATTATTCAAGCTATTGAGGTCGATTCCATAATATCCTATTCTCTGAACACCAGTGTTCAGAGCCAGGTATTTAGCATTTTTCTGAAGACCAGGAGGGATGGGGCCGGCCTGATGTCACTGGGGAGGGAGTTGTACAGCTGAGGGGCCACCACTGAGAAGGCCCTGTCTCTCGTCCCCATCAGTCATACTTGTGAGTGGGTTGGGACCGAGAGCAGGGCCTCCCCAGCAGATCGTAACACTCTAGTAGGCTCATAAAGGGAGATACGTTTGGACAGGTAAGTTGGACCAGAACCGTTTAGGGCTTTATAGCCCAAAGCCAGCACTTTGAATTGGGCCTGGTAGCAAACTGGCGGCCAGTGGAGCTGAGAGGTTGTATGTTCCCCGTACATCACTCCAGTAAGAAATCTGGATACTGGGAGACCAAGGTTCGAATCCCTGCTTGACTATGGAAACCCACTGGATGACACTGGGCAAATCACACTCACTTAGAGGAAAGTGTGTGTGAATAAATTATGTCAAGAAACCCCTGTTATATGGCCACCATAAGTCAGAAATTAATTAAAGACACACACCTGATGTTAATATTTGTTTTCCTATAATGTTTTTGTACATTTAGGTTTATTTTAATAGACCACTGCTTAAAATTTCATTTGATATTGGTAGCCCACTGGAAAGCACATATAATTTCATAGGCTCCGATCCAGGAATAATTGAACATAACAAGTAGTGGCTTGGGGTGTCGAAGCCATTCATATTTGTGTACACACTTCAATTATGCCTGCATAAAACTAGTTTGTGCATACAAATCACTTGTTGAATCAGAATTAATGAGTTTAAAGCATTGTTCTTACAGGTTGATTTTCTATAGCTTTGCACTTTTCATTTAATTGTTAACTGTAGTTAATGGACTTCAAGCTGTATTGTTATGTTTGGAGTCAAATTTTCTTCTTCTTTTCCTTTAAAAAAATCAGGATAGAATAAGTTTTAAAATCATCCCATGTTTAGCTAAATTTGACTTTATTCTTTTTCCTGGACCATGTAGATTGGAAGATTGATTATTGGTCAGAATGGCATTTTATCGACCCCTGCTGTATCGTGTGTTATCAGAAAGGTCAAAGCAGCTGGAGGGATTATTTTGACCGCTAGTCACTGTCCTGCAGGCCCTGCAGGCGAGTTTGGTGTCAAGTTTAATGTTGCCAATGGAGGTATGTATGAAAAACAAAGTAATTATAGTTTAGAAAACAGGTTGAAGAGGAAATCAGCTTGGTTACAATTCTTATAGCTATGTATAGCTTTGAATATAGGTATCCTCCCCCCTTCCGCAAAGAATCCTATCTTTTTAATAGCAATAGGCTATTTTGTGCAAAATATTCAGTATTCAGAAGATCTGGATGTTCTGGCAGCTTCTTTTTAGAAAGTTCATATTTTATAAGCCTTTGTCTATCTGTGTATTTGGCATCTTTTGCAGGGAGTTGGACTAGACATGGGGGTTGGACATGTGGTCTCTTCCAGCTCTATTATTCTATGATTCTATACTTACTGAGACATTAAACCCAAGGGGTTTGATTTATCTTTCCAAAAGACTGGAGTTATAGTTCAGGACAGTTCTAATGGGAAGCATTTCAGAGGCCAAAAGATCTATGTTAGAGCTTGAATGTCCTGAAATACTATTTTACATCTGCATTTAATTATACTTAATACACCATTATATGCATCCCATCTTGGGAGAAAAGTCAGTTAAAAGTTCAATAAGTAAATAAACAAAGAAATGTATGTTCTTATCAAGAATTTTTTTCTTCATCAAGCAATTTTTCTGAGTATATTTCGTTACTAGTACTTAGTTTATGTATATGTATATATTTAGGACCAGCTCCAGATGCTGTTTCTGATAAAATTTACCAAATCAGCAAAACTCTCGAAGAATATGCCATTTGTCCTGACTTGAGAATTGACTTATCTCGGCTAGGAAGACAAGAGTTTGATCTGGAGAACAAGTTCAAGCCTTTCCGAGGTATTCTGTCCTTTTTTTTTTTTTACAACATGGATCTATATGTTTTTATTCCTAAAGGAGTTTGATTGTTGGCTGGTGTGGTAATGTTTTGCAATTGAAATTGGAAATGGTTGGTGGGAACTGTGGCTTTTTTTATCACACTGTCTCCCAGCCTTCTGCTCTTGCATCAACAAAGTTGGAATCTTGGCCCTTCATATCGTTTGGAAAATTTTCTCCCATGATCACATGGGAAAATAATTGATCAAGGGAATAATTAGTACAGGATGTACCATTTTAGCTGACATTTCTCAGATTATGACCAACCGGCAACTAGCCAAATCTCTAACTGTTTGTGTTACCTTGTTTTGTTTCACTAGTTCATGCATTCGAATTCTAGAGCTTTTTTACCAGTCATTATAATTGTTCGTTTTAGCTTGATAGCATTCCAGCTTTAGATTTACATTCTGCAGCATTTGTTTTATTCTACAGAATTTTCTTGATTGTTGGCTTTGTTGTTGCATTACATTAAGCTCTGGAGTACATTGTTTGACTTTTTATAGCTCCAGTTTGTGTTTTCCACATTCTGTTGTTGTTTTTAAATCCTCTTTTATTCTGATGTTAGTTGTGTGCTGACTTGAGCAATTTATTTTGAAAGACAACAGACTAATTTTGAAAAAGACATGATCCAGCCACAACTAAGCACCACATCTGATTTGATATAATGGGAAAGATTTGAGCATGTCCTTAACTTTTCCACATACCTGGTGTGTTGGATAGATTGTGCTCAGTATAAACAAACAGTTCAAGCATGTCCTTTGTCTTGCCTTCATGTTTAAACTCAACAACAAACATTGACAACATCGGTTGTTTGACATATTTGACAGTAATAGCTTTATGTGCATATGCTTGCTGTATTTGATTAATGAGTTATTGTGTAACTGTTTGGTCCCATTGGGCTTGTGGAACAGATTCAAAAGTAAAATATATTGACTGACTACAAATTTCTCTGATTTTACATGTCTAGTTGAGATCATAGACTCAGTGGAAGTCTACCTCAACCTTCTGCGGACTATCTTTGACTTCAGTGCCATTAGAAGCTTGCTAACGGGGCCAAATCAACTCAAGATCAGAATTGATGCCATGAATGGAGGTAAGGAGGCCCATTTTTGATGCAACATATAAAATATCAATATATTGAAAATGAAATGTTGGTTTAAAGCATGAGATTAATTGCTAAATTATGCTGAAGAAGAATAATTTCTTTTTGCAATCATGAACGTGCTTGAGAGTAAGCTTGTATTAAATATGTATATTAGTTTGACTTCCAACTAAACCTGTTCATACTTGTGGTGAAATATGTACCCTGTATGTTTCATATGTATTAGTCAAGCAATCTCTATCTTTCTTAGTATTATTGTCAAATGGTGAAGATTGATGAATAGGCTCCATCTACACTGCTATATAATGCAGTGTAATGGCATTGAACTGCATTATATATTAGTGTAGACTCATATAATGCAGTTCGATACAGTTAAACTGAATTATGAAACTGCATTATATGACAGTGTAGATGGGGCCATAGTTAGGGTTTTATATTGAGTCCATGGCATAGGCCTCATCATAGGTGAACATTACTGTGTCTTCAGTTAAAAGTAGAATGGTTTTTAATTGGCCATAATAAAATAGTAGTTATTGAAATACAGTGTGAACTCAACATTTGTTTGTTTAACTTTTGTAGATTTGATTATTTGTGGATTTGATTGACATTTTCTCTCAAGGAATCTCTAATCCTCCAGTGAGACTCCATGGTTCTGGTGGAAGTCATGCTGGTGGATCTAGTGATTCATACACAGGTTTATTTCAGGCCTGTCTACATTGCTATATAATGAAACTGTATTGCATGATTAGGATAGACTCGTATAATGCAGTTTAACTGCATTGAATTTCAGATACCATCTACACTGCCATTATAATGCAGATTGAACTACATTATATGGTCAGTGTAGACTCATATTATCCAGTTCAATGCAGTTTATTAAAATCCATGCTGGTCATATAATGCAGTTTGATCTACATTATATAGCAGTGTAGATGAAGTCCCAATACTGGGGGGAGGGGTTATCTGTGGTTATTCCACGTTCACAAGGGTCTTGCATCCCTGCACTCCAAGGAAGCGGAGAACCTCCTGTACAAAGGACTGTTACTGTTTGAAGACAGAGATGCTTGATAGCATCAGTTTATTCCCTGTACACATTAAGGTTATGAATTATATCTGTGAGGTTGTAAATGTTCTAAATTGCCTAACATAGCAGGTTTCTGGCATCTGTAGGTGCAAGGCTGTAACACCCTTTCAGTGACTTAAGATTTAAAATATACACTAGTGGAATAATGTATTGTTGAAGGCTTTCATGGCCGGAATCACTCAGTTCTTGTGGGTTTTTTCGGGCTATATGGCCATGTTCTAGAGGCATTTCTCCTAATGGAATAATTTTAGTGGAATAATTTTACATGCCTGTGTAATCTCTGGAATGTATATGGCAAGTCCTGTAGTTAAAGGTTCTTCCACGGCAGAAGTTTTCCATGGGTAGAATGACTACAATGAAGACATTTTCAGATACATACCTCACTCTCTGCTTGTTATTTATCTGTAAAGGAGTAAAGGGTTTTAAAGAGACCCCAGTATATGCTGCCAAGAAGCTCATTAGGTGGAAATGGACATGTTCAGTGCCATTGTAGATTTTTGTGCTGATGGCTCATCAGACTCAAAATAGACATCATTCACAAAAACCAGTTCTATTTGTTTTTAACCTCTTTCATAACTTGTAGAGATGAACATGATATCCTGTTTAATATAGACTGGTTCCAGTTCTGTTATATAAATACAGGATGTTTATTCTGGATGTAAATTCAAAGGGGGTTTCTAAACTAGAAGGCAAATTCCTTTTGCAGTGATGGGTCCTTATGTCCGGAGAATCCTGTGCGATGAATTAGGAGCTCCTGCTAATTCGGCAGTGAACTGTGTTCCTCTGGAGGATTTCGGTGGCCAGTATCCTGACCCAAACCTGACATATGCAACTGCTTTGCTGGAGGCAATGAAAGGAGGAGAGTATGGATTTGGAGCCGCCTTTGATGCTGATGGAGTAGGTATTTGAGGAAGGCTAAATTTGGTTCTAAAGAATTGTTGTTATTGTTCTAGGTTCAATATTCAGGAAAGACCTTTCGAAGGAATATCTAGCCATTTTTAAAATTAAGATAAATTGAAGTTCTAAGTACTAAATAACTGAAACATTGAAAATCTCCCTGTTTGTGGAAATGCCTCTACTCCTCAGTTTTTCAGACTTTACTTACCGTAGGTCTTATCTATACTGTAGAGCAGTGGTTCTCAACCTGTGGATACCCAGATGTTTTGGCCTTCAACTCCCCAAAATCCTAACAGCTGATAAACAACTGGTAAACACCTGGGGACCCACTGCTGTAGAAGAAATTATATTCACCTTAGAGGTGCTGCAATCCTGACACACTATGTTCTTGACTATTTGTTTGCAACTTGGTCCTCTGGGCTTTAATCTGATTTTTAAAACATTGCCTTTTACCTCACAGTTTTACAGAAGACCCAGATTTTTGAGTATGAGGTTACTTCAAAAGTTGCAAGTGAAAATTGTGAGCCAGACCTCTTGGGTATTATAAGTAAATAATGCTAATTCAAAATGTCCTACTAACATCTTCCTACTAAGATGTCTATAAAATGGTATTCCCTACATACACATGTAAGTATTAGGTGGCTTATACTTGGAATCCACCATGTAAGTCATCAGGAGTGATAAACACACGGGGTTATTTATTGTTACTGTCTTTCTTTTGCTTTTATTTGTAAATGGAAAATCTGCACAATAAAAACTATTAAAAAAAAAAGGAGTGATAAACACACATACATTTGTTTGGCTGATACCCAAAGATGAGCTTATGTAATGGAATAATGAGTTAGAGAGCACTAGTTAGGTATCAAAATGATAAGCACAGTTTAGACAAAGGGATTTTGGAGACTTATAGTTTTGGCATGGGGCTGTGGAGAAATGCTTTGTATAGAATTGTCTTTTTTATATTATGCATCACTGTGTTGCCAGTCTGTGTGGTTATTGATAGATTCTGAAAAAAGAACAAGACCACTTGAATATTCCTAGAAGGCAGACAAGCCAGGCAATCTGATTCTGATTGGTCTGGATAATCATACCGGGAAAATTAGTTTTGATTGGCTCAGGATGTTTCGAACCTTGATTGGCTAAACTTCTACCCAGTTTTTAAAAATGTAATACAGTAGAGTCTCCTTTATCCAACCTTCGCTCAGCCAACGTTCTGTATTATCCAGTGCAGTCTGCCTCTCGCCTGGATCCACAGCTATTTCAATACATTGTGATGTTTTGGTGCTAAATTTGTAAATACAGTAATTACTACACAACATTACTGTGTATTGCATTGCTTTTTCTGTTAATTTGTTGAAAAGCATGATGTTTTGGTTCTTAATTTGTAAAATCTTAATGTAATTTGATGTTTAATAGGCTTTTCCTTAATCTCTCCTTATTATCCAACGTTTTCACTTATCCAATGTTCTGCTGGCCCATTTATGTTGGATAAGCTGTATTTGAAAGCATAGTCAATTCATTTGCAGAGTTAGAATAATTGTGAATTGGTTATACATGTGTGAGCCAAAAAAGATGAAAATCTGAATGGAAAATTTTAAAAATGTGTCATTTACTGATAAGGTAAAGGTAAAGTTTTCCCCTTGACATTAAGTCTAGTCGAGTCCAACTCTGGGGGGTGATGCTCATCTCCATTTCTAAGCCAAACAGCTGGTGTCATCAGGAGATGCCTCCAAGGTCTTGTGGCCAGAGTGACTGCATGGAGCACTGTTACCTTCCTGCTGAAGTGGTACCTATTGATATATTTACATTTGCATATTTTCAAACTGCTAGGTTGGTAGAAGCTGGGGCTAACCTGACCCTGTCCCGCAGATTCGAACCACTGACTTTCTGGTCAGCAAGATCTGGAGCTTAGCAGTTTAACCTCCTGCACCACTGCAGCCCCGGTCATTTACTGATATTTGTGGGCAAATTTTAATTTTGCCAGATGAATTTAGGGCATTTCATGGAAGTAAAATAGTCATTGAAAGGGTTGTGCCAACTCTTTGTAGTTATTGAAAAAAATTCAATTAATTAACAACAATTAGTTCTGTGAAATAGTATTGCTTTTATAAATATTACTTTTGCCTTTTCTAAGGTCATCTTGTTCCATCTCATACTGAAGCTTAGAGCACCTGGCTGCTAGGAAACTTGAAGGAATGGATGACAGTAGAAATGATTTGGATTAAGGCATTCTGGGCCACAGTGAAAGGCAGTTCTATAACTTCTGAGGGGCAAAGGGCTTAAAGTGTCTGTAAACACTAAGCCAAGATTAGTGTTTCCCCTAGAGACCCACACTTTTAATTCCTTTGGTAAAGTTGCAGACCTTTTCCCTTCAGGTTGCATTTCCATTTTAGGAAAACTAGTCATAATGTTGGTACTGCTTCTTAAATGCCATTCTTGCCCTTCTACATACTTCTGCATTCTGCACACTGTAAGTAGGTAGGCAGAGAAATAATTTTTGCATTGCAGATGGGCAATTGCCAGAGTATATGACAGGCAAGAACTGTTGGAATCTCTCCCTTTTGAAACCAAAATAGGAAGAAAAGGAGGTGTGGATCTACACTGCTATGTAATGCAGTTTCATAATACAGTTTAATGGCATCGAACTCTGCATTTCCATATAATGCAGTTCGATGCAGTTAAATTGCATTATGTGGCAGTGTAGTTGGAGCCTAAATGATAGCATAAGATACAAAATTTATCTCTTATACTCTGGTAAAAATTATTGATAAAAGATATCCTCTTATTAAATTTGACGAGCTGTTTTCTGATGTTTGTTGTTTATTCATTCATTCATTTTCTACTGCATGACCTCACGGACCAGCCCACACCAGAGCTCCCTGATATATTTTCTAATATAAACTGCTAATATTATTGTGCATTAATACATTTCACTTGTACAGTAAAAGAATATGAGTGAGAAAGAAGGTTTGGACTGCAAAACCTACTATAAATATTTTCTTTTCTGATTTAAGTCCTTCCCCACTATATTCAGGCCAATTATAATTCTTCTTGGACTTTTTGAGCGAAGTGTGATCTGTGAAAAGATATGTACCGGAAACAAATAAAAGTAATGCAGTGTTACCAGACAGACTGGAGCCAAGAGGGGATTATATTTTTTCCTCTTGTTAGATTGCAAAGGAAGGGGTAAAGGAATAAGGAGTTCAACCAGGAGATGATCTGTTTTGCAGTAACATTGAGAACAAGCTCCTCCACCTAGAGTTGAGACAAGCAGATAGGCTAGCTGGAGAGGCCTTTGGAGACTTATCCCACCCTTGACATGACAGTTGTTCTGCAGTCATAGGAATGAGTGTCTCCAGAAAGGAAGCTGTCATTTTGAGGTTTGTGATTCCTCACAAAGGCCGCATGTTTGATATCCTTCTGTGCCAAGAAGACACCTAAGGGGGATAGGCTTATGACAATAGGCAATGTAACCATCAGAAATGTTGATAGGTGTTATATATGGTAGGCACATAAATACAGGCAGGCATGTCTGCCTTCTGCAAAGGTTGTGGGCATAAAGTATTACTTTGGTAACTTGGTAGATAGCACTTGGGGATATTCAATTAGTGTGGTAAATGTGGGCTCACTTGTATTGTAAGATGTAGTTGTCAGACTTAGGAATCAAGATTTGGTTGTTAGGAAGGAGGTGGAATGACTGAAATGCTGCTTTCTCAGGGTCGGCATGACATTAAAGTTGAGCAATGGAAAGCTCTAAAACTATCAGGAATGCTCAATAAAGTTCTGTAATCTTGACGAGTGATCTGCAAGTTGAATACATTATTTACAGGAGTCATAAAAATAAGAAAATTCTGGAATAATTTTGGAAAATAATATTTTGGAAAAAGTTACCTGAGAAGTATTCCTGCCTCACATTACATCTATTCCTAAAACGAGTCTGTATACCAGAAGCCAGTGTAACACCAACTATAGAAAGGAATTTAGGGGAGATGTAAAACTATAGGCTAGTTCATTGAATGTCTGGTCAAGGTAATTTGGTAGAAAGTAGAGGTGTACACGATATCATTTTAGTGTATTGGATTTGGGGGATTCAGCTGCTAAATCCACAAAAACAAGCCTGGAGAGCGGCAGCCGAAGCCTTAGCTGATATGGATCATACTTAAATTACATCCCTTCCACAAATATGATTTCTTTTCTTTTCCAGGACCGCTATATGATCCTAGGTCAAAATGGATTTTTTGTGAACCCTTCTGATTCATTGGCCATTATTGCTGCCAATCTTCCCTGCATTCCATATTTTTGTCAGATGGCTGTGCGAGGTTTTGGTAGGAGCATGCCAACTAGCACTGCTTTGGACAGGTAAGAAGGGGTAAGACTATTTTTGTGATAATACATAAGGGGAGATAGCTGTAGTTTTTCAGAAGTCTAGTTACTATAGTTCATATCAGCCATAGCCTTATTTAAAACCTTATTAAAATATGGGCTCATTTTAATAAGTCTTGTGACTCATGATAAGTGTTTTCAGATTGCAATTCACAGGCAGAACTTTTAGCCAGCATCTCTCAGATGAACTGTGCTAAATAATTAAAAATCTAGCAGGACTGAAAGGTGGGCTGAAATATCCTAATTATAGTATGAACATCTCCTGTTCCTCAGAATAAATTTTTGATGTAGTAGTTGGATAAATTTAATGAACATTCAGAATTTCACTTCAGCAAGATTTTTTTATTCACATTACCTTCTTGCTTTTAAAAAACATGTATTAGCAATTAAATAATTACAGTCAGTCTCAAAATAATTGGATATATTATGCTTTTGAACAATATTCCAGATGCTTTAAGCTATTGTTCCCATTCTCATGAGTCCTGTGTAGTGATTCTTATCTAGTAGGCCAGAAAAGAAGCCTGGATAACAGTAGGGCAAACCTCCATTTTGAGAGTGTATGCCAGGGAAACAGCCATCTTGAGTGGGGATAGCTAGATGGAAGGAGTTTGAGGATAGATGGGAGGAGTTTGAGGTCTCCTGGGATTGGCAGAACAGACAGGAGGAGCCAAGTCTTAGGAGGAAAAAAGATTTCAGCTTCTGAGGAGAAGAGAATTGGGAGCTGGTGGGAGCAGAAGTGTTTTCGAAACTAGGTTTTCAGAGAGAGTGTGTCTGTGTCAGGTAGGGCTGATTAGCTGACAGGAAAGGTCAGAACAGCTACTTGATTTCTTGTGGGAGATAGCACAAGGGATTCGCTCTCTAGACTGAGTTAGCTAGCAGTAAGAACTCTGGAGAGTTAGCTGATAACTCAGGGGACTACCTAGGTTAGGTTAGTCAGTGACTCATTGCTATTTCTCTGAAGTAGGGTGAGGGATTTTTGTAACCAGCAGCTATATCTGTTTGATTAGCTCTGTATGTAACCAAGTGAAGAAACTCTTTTCAAGCAACCATCAAGCTATAGTACACTTTTGAAACAAGTCAAGCATTTTATGCCTCTCAGAAGAAGTTAGTTGTCTGTTTTTATAAATAAATCTTTTTCTGTTCAACTTTCAAAAAGGTCTCAATTTATCAGTAATCCTTGGTGATAATTACAACCTCTTTAACATCCTAATACCACAGAAAGATCTTTTATCCAAACAGTCATTTTGGGAGCTAAGGGGAGAGCTGTGTTGGCAGAGAAGGGAAAAGTTTACCTCAAAAACTCATTTTTAAAATCCTAAGACATTTTGGGTTGGTGGCAGCATTAAACCAAAAGAAGACTGAAGCAGTGTTCACTCTACCATTACACATTCTATCTAACATCAACTTGCTACCATACTATTGTCCAGTATTGTAATATTACATATAATCCTTTACAGTGGTGTTGAGCTGTGGGATTTATAATAAAATATAACTTCGCACTTCTCTATAATTGGTGCCAGTGGCGAGATTGATATCGTACGCTTCTTTACATCCTGTATCTGGAGGTTATGAGAACTGTAATTCAATACATCTCCAGAACATACTAGCCTTCCTACCTATGAGTGTTTCCCCATGGTATTCTAATCTCTAATTTTTTTAAAAGGAAGGAGCTAAAACTGAAGGCCTAGATGATAAAATTATGCATGTATGTTGAAGATCTAGGGTTTACCTTCTTTTTATGTTATGTTTGAAATGGATTATATCAATCAGGTGACTCCAATGTGATTTTTCTTTGAGAACTTCCTAGTTCCCTTCCTTTCTTCCTTCCTTTCTCTCTCTCTGACAATGGTAGTCCATGGCTTAGTTGTTTCGGGTTTTTAATCATTTTACAGCATTGAATGTTTGTCGCTGCTTGTTGTAAACCACCCTGAGTCCCCACAGGGAGATAGGGCAGGATATAAATAAAGTATTATTATTTTCCTCCCTCCCTCCCTCCCTCCCTCCCTCCCTCCCTCCCTCCCTCCCTTCTTTCTTTCTTGTAAACATTAGAATTAGAATACACTGGCCAATGCACATTTTGTTGCCTCAAATATTAGACCTGTTTCTGAGTATATTTGACTTGCTATTTCATCATTCTTCTTCTAAAATAACTACTAACTTTTCATCAAAATCAAACACCAGTCAGAATGAATTAATCACCATCTTTCTATATTTGTTTTAAAAAAGAACAGATAACCCCACATTCCTGGTGTGTTTTATCAGGAATGGCTTTGCTGTGACTTTTGGAGACACACTATAGTTAATTCCTTGTGTGGTAATGTTGCTGCCAGTGCTTTGGTTCACCAGAAGGGTTATGTGTAATCAGTTCAGCATGTCTCAACACCTTTTGTGAATGTTATATAGCCATCCAAAATCCAGTGTGTGTGTGCATGCTAATTTTAGAGCCAATGTTGTCATCCTGTTTTGAAATCAATGGTTTGTGTCTATGTATTCTGTGAGATTGAATGAAAAATGTTTAGTTAAATAAAATCTTGTATATAAACCAATTCTAGATTCTTGCCATTTAGGCAGAGCATCAATTCAGTAAGAGAACCAGTGTGGTGTAATGGTTTCAGTACTGAACTAGGACTCCAGAGTTTAGGATACCAGCCATGGAAACCCAGTGAGTGACCTTGGTTTAATCACATTTTCTCAGCCTTAGGAAAAGGCAATGGCAAAACACATCAATCCAAGAAACCTCAGTGATACATCCAGCTTATGTTAATCAGAAATTGCAAATGACTTGAAGGCAGAAAACAAGCAACAATAAATCCACTCATAAAGACATGCATAGATTCCATTTTATGAAATTAAGAAAAACTCATGTTGTTTTCAAACAGTGGTTCCCAACCTTTTTTTCACCAGGGCCCACTTGACTAGGGACCATTTTGACCACTTTGACCAGGGACCACTTTGACCAGGGACCACTTTGACCAGGGACCAACTTAAACAGGGACCACTTGTACAGGGACCACTTTGACCAGGGCCCACTCTCCAACATTAGCACTCAATGTTGGAGCAGAGCTGGTCAGCTCTGCTGAAAGGAGCAGAAATAAAATAAATTAAGAGAAAAGAAGTTCGCAGGCTGGATTTTTGTTCTCCCAGCCCACTGCTGGGCCACAGCCCACAGGTTGTTAACCTCTGTTTTAAACACAGTTGAAGATTATTAGAAGAACAAAAACAGCTCACTTTCATCTGATTTGTGGGATATTTCTTTTTTAAACGTTGTCTTCCCAATATGTTGGAAGAGCTAAGTACCCTTTTGATACCGTGCACTGTTGCTATTTCAACTTCGTCACTTGCTTACTTCCATTGGTGTATATAGCTAGCATACTAATTACGTGTAGTGTGACATGTCTCTCAAGAAGAGTAACCTAATTGTTTCCTGCTGTGTTTGATTCTAGGTGTTGGGTAGCTTGGTGCCTCACATAACATTTACTTAAAGGTCTTAGATGCTTGACTGGATAAGCCAACTGTACTTTTGGCAGCCTGTTCGCAGTCTCATTATGTCAGCCTGTAATGATGAGTACATTCCTTCATGTCATGATCACAACAACCCACATGTCTTATGTGTACAGGATTTTCTTTTCATTTTTAGAAGATGGATTTTCTGCCTAATGCATTAATGGCTGTACTAATATGTCCAAAAACTCTCCACAGATAGCAGCAGCAAATAAATAAAGTGCCCATACTGAGAGATATCTGGAGCCTGAAATCGCTCTTAAGATAGAGAAACAGACACTACTTTGTAGATTATATTGGTGCACAAGTTCATGTATCATAGCCACAGCCAGTCTTATCTGCAGAATATTTGATGTCTTCAGTATTTTCCAAAGCTGACTAGACTCTAGCAGCTTATATTCTTTTGATGTCTGTTGTCTAATTTATTTTGGACTTTGCGATAAAGACATTTCAACTGAACATCTGAAAAGGGCTTACTTTCAGTGGTGAAGAACCCCAATAAATTACTGAATAGAAGAGGCAAAGAATAACCTTGCTACCTATCTTAACAACAACAACCCAAAATAATAATGATGGTTAAGACCACTGCTCTCATTTTTGAAAATACAAAATCCAGTTGTAGCCAAAAGAGTGATAATTAACCGATGGATTGAATATAGAATCATAGAATCATAGAGTTGGAAGAGACCTCATCTATCCAGTCCAACCCCCTGCCAAGAAGCAGGAAAATCGCATTCCAAGCATCCCCAACAGAGGGCCATCCAGCCTCTGCTTAAAAGCCTCCGATGAAGGAGCCTCCACCACACTCCGGGGAAGAGAGTTGCACTACTGAACAGCTCTCCTTACAATTACGTTCTTCCTAATGTTCTTTCCTGTAGTTTGAAGCCATTATTCCATGTCCCAGTCTCCAGGGCAGCAAAAAACACGCTTGCTTCCTCCTCCCTATGACTTCCCATCACATGTTTATACATGACCATCATGTCTCCTCTCAGCCTTCCCTTCTTCAGGCTAAACATGCCCAGCTCTTTAAGCCGCTCCTCACAGGGCTTGCTCTGCAGACCCTTGATCATTTTAATCGCCCTCCTCTGGACATATTCCAACTTGTCAACATCTCCCTTCAATTGTGGTGCCCAGAATTGGACACAGTATTCCAGGTGCAGTCTGACCAAGCCAGAATAAAGGGGTAGCATGACTTCCCTAGACTGGCTTTTTTATCTGCAGCATGACATTGTTGCTCATGTTTAACTTGTTGTCCACGAAGACTCCAAGATTCTTTTCACACGTACTGCTGTCAAGCCAGGCGTCCCCATTCTGTATCCTACAAATTGATTATAGAAATGAACATTTCAGTGTATGAGTTTAATAGCAAATAATGCAGTAAACATGCATTAGAGATGGGGATAGAAAATAAGGTTTCAAGAACTATAGTTGAGGTTCCGATATTAGCTCACTTATCCGAAAGATGTCAGGGTAAG